AACAATAACCATCCAAAAGTTGGCATGCTTCACTGGAGCCCTCATAAAGCGGACTCATCTGATTGGTTCTGATCATTAGAGAGAAGAGGGAAGCGTGAAAGAAGGGTTGAATGTTCAAAAATATAAACTTCAGCTGGAAGAGATGAGTGACGCCCATCCATAAACTGAAAAATGAGAAGCAATCTTTGTTAAAAGACAGTAAACGTAAAAGAAAGGTCTTGTTGCATATGTACCATTCAGTTTTCAGAATTTTTTTAGCTACCATTACAGATGCAATCCCTTCAGAAATCATTCTAATATGCTGATTTGGTGCTCAAGAAACATCTCTTACTATTATCAATGTTGAAAAAGATTGTGCTGCTTAATATTTTTGTGTGATACTTTAGAAGAAAGTTCAAAAGGGCAGAATTTATTTGAAAAAAGAAATATTTTCTAACATAAATCTGCCTTTGATGTTACTTTTCATCAATTCAATGCATCCTTGCTGAATAAAAGTATTTAATTCAACGGTAGTGTACATTTATAATATACATTTAGAACATGTCATTCAAAACTCATCATCAAAACCTATGCGTGCCAAATGAATAGAACAAGTTACAAGAATGTTATACGGTTCTTTCCATTCTGACGCTCAAGTTGTGTGAGAATATTGAAATAAGGAAGCAACAAAATGCCACAGCGCAAGTTCACACCTAGCTGAGGGCTCATTGTACATTTGCCGCAGCATGAGGGCTAAAGGCCAAGAGCATTTTATGGCACAAGTCACATATCAGTTTTAGCTCTCCTTCACATTGTGGTAGACTCTGGTCTGCAGCTTCCCTAAGATTTTACACAGATAAAATGTGAGACATGAACATCCCCACTTGTTAATGCACTGCCAGCCTTACGCACTAACCGATGTTGGCAAGTAACTAACAAACAGAAGCAATGCTGCTAATTTATTGTCATAGTCCACACAAAAAATGAAATCATCTTATCATTTGCTCACCCTCATGTGACATTCTTTCTTCTGTGAAGCATACAAATATATTTTGAGAAATGCTTTTTTTGTCTTTGGAATTCAGTGCTCACCAAAACAGTTTGGTTACCAAAATTTTTCAAAACACCTTCATTTGTGTTTCACAGATAAAAGTAAGTCATAGAGGGTTAGAACAACATGAGTGTGAGAAAATGAAGCGGGAGTTAATTCTCGGGTAAACTTTTACCTACATTTTCTATAGGCAGTATAACTGAAGCTATTTTCAAAAAAGCATAGCTTTTTCAGTAAACATCTAAACATCATCTTACATCCATTATCGTTTTAATGTGACAAAATACTACATTTCTATTTTAACGTCACATTGTAGGTTTACTGTGTTTACACTTGTAGCTTTATAGCACGGTTAGCTTGACTCTTATAGCATTGAAAAATCTGATTCATTCAAGTGAATCGATTCATTTGAATGATTTCTGTAAATGAACCAATTTACTTGGCATCTTCTTTTATATTGAAATAATTTGTTAAATGCTGTTTGTTAATCACTGTCATCCCCCTCAGAATACATTAAGGTGTATTCTAGCTTTTTGAGTTCATTCAAAATCCTCATTCTATGATTAAATGACTAGTTATGTAACCTGATTTATGTTTAGTTGCATTGTAAAAAGATAAGTAGCTTTAAAGTTGTTAGCTACTTGTTAGTAGCTTTCAGCTAACAAGCCAAAATATTAGCATGTGAAGCAGGAGCTTCCCTAACATTGGCACTTAACAGTCCTCAGAAGTGAAGTTTGTATTTTTCTAGTATATAAAACCATTATAAAAGCAAGTTAACACTCTGATACAATATCTTTCAGATTCATATACAGAAAAGCTCTCATGTTGTGTGTCTTTAAAAGATTATTTGGCAACACTCCTAAAATCAAAGCTAAGAAAAAAAAAAAAGAAAAAAAAAAAAAACTGTTGAAGAGATAAGCTCACCTTCACCGTTAAGGATATGAGTCATGTTCAGACAAGATCAGGCCAGCAACCTTTAACAAAAAAAAAGAAAGAAAGAGAGAGAGAAAGACAGTAGCAAACTGACAAAACCCAAAACAATAAGGAGGGCTGAGTGGAGGTTTAGAGATATTCTGTTGCAATCATTTTTTAACCAACACAGCCCCTTCAATGCAAACTTATCTCTATTATCTCTCTGCAACTGCACGCATCTCTGGGGGGCTTTGACATTGTGGGCACACAATCGAGCAGGACTTTGATGCATGTGGACTTTGAGAGGTAGAGGGGATGCTGCATAGAAAGCCACAGACAAGGAGGTACCCACTGCCACCTGGCATTTGGAGCATCACTCAAGAAGCACACGAGCCAAAGCAAAGGTCACGGACTCTGACAAGAAGCAGCTTTTTTTTTTTGCATTGCATTGCATTGCTGGAGAAGCCCCGGCGGGTTCAGTGCTGTTAGAGATCCCTCAAGGGCTTCTCAGAACACATCCAGTGTAAAATAAACAGGATCGCATGTCTGTGTCCAGATAAAACATTTAAACGTCCTGCTCCAGCAGACACTTGCAGGCAGACAATACCTGCCTTTACCTGTCAGTCAAACTTGCGTCAGTCAGAAAGCTTTGGAAGCTGGTAATTAAAGGCAGTTTAAATGAAGCAATAAGGTACAAATGTGTTAGATTAAGTTTTAAAGAACACAGTTAAGCTTAACAAACAGCCTCGGGGGCCTCATTGCTTAAAAAAAAAAAAAGGTTAATATTACAAAAATATCAGGGACAAATTTTCTTTTTAGCACAACTGAAACGTAGACCAATCAGCAGTCAGGACCGAAACTATCTGGTTTATAATAACTTTTAAATATTAAAGGGGTCATATGATGCAATTTAAAGTTTTCCTTTCTCTTTGGAGTGTTACAAGCTGTTGGTGCATAAA